AAATGAAAGAAATGTTTTGAATCGAATAGAAGAAGAAACACATGTTTTCAGACGAAAGGAAAGAAAAGAAATGAAGAAAAAAGGGGAAAAAGTAATCAAAGAGACGAAGAAAGAAATGTTTTCAGACGAAGGGAAAAAGAAAGAAATGAAGAAAAAAAAAGAAATGTTTTAAGACGATGAAAGAAATGTTTTGAGACGAAGAGAAAAAGAAAGAAAAATTTTGAAAGAAAGTGAAAATGAAGGAAAAGTTTTGAAACGAAGAGAAAAAGTAGAAAAGAAAGAAATGTCTTGAAACGAAGAGAAAAAGAAAGAAATGTTTTCAAAAGATAGTAAGAAGAAAGAAATGTCATGAATCAAAGAGAAGTTGAAAAATGTTTGAGACGAAGGGAAAAAGAAAGAAAGAAGAAAAAATGAAAAAAACGAAATGTTTTAAGAAGAAGAAAGAAATGTTTTGAAACGAATAGAAAAAGAAAGAAAAGTTTTAAAAAAAGTGAAAATGAAGGAAAAAAAAGAAAATGATTTGAAAAGAAAAATTTCAAAAAAAGAGAAGAAAGAAAAACAAGTCTTGAAACGAGGAAAAAAGAAAGAAACGTTTTCAAAAAAAAAGGAAAGAAAGTAAATGAAGGAAAGAAAAGAAACGTTTTTAGAGAAAAAAAAGAAATGTCTTGAATCAAAGAGAAGTAGAAAGAAATGTTTTCAGACGAAGGGAAAAAGAAAGAAAGAAGAAAAAACAAGGAAAAAAGAAATGTTTTAAGACGAAAGAAATGTTTTAAAACGAAGAGAAAAAGTAGAGAAGAAGAAAGAAATGTCTTGAAATGAAGAGAAAAAGAAAGAAACGTTTTCAAAATGTAGTAAGAAAGAATAAATGTTTTGAGAGAAAAAGAAAAAGAAAGAAATCTCATGAATCAAAAAGAAGTAGAAAGAAATGTTTGAGACGAAGGGAAAAAGAAAGAAATGAAGAAAAAAGAGGAAAAAGAAATGTTTTAAGACGAAGAAAGAAATGTTTTGAGACGAAGAGAAAAAGAAAGAAAAGTTTTGAAAGAAAGTGAAAATGAAGGAAAAGTTTTGAACCGAAGAGAAAAAGTAGAGAAGAAGAAAGAAATGTCTTGAAACGAAGAAAAAAAAGAAAGAAACGTTTTCAAAAGATAGTAAGAAGAAAGAAATGTTTTGAGAGAAAAAGAAAGAAATGTCATGAATCAAAGAGAAGTAGAAAGAAATGTTTTCAGGCGAACGGAAAAAGAAAGAAATGAAGATGGAAAAAAGGAAAAAAGAAATGTTTTAAGACGAAGAAAGAAATGCTTTGAGACGAAGAGAAAAAGAAAGAAAAGTTTTGAAAGAAAGTGAAAATGAAGGAAAAGTTTTGAAACGAAGAGAAAACGTAGAGAAGAAGAATGAAATGTCTTGAAATGAAGAGAAAAAGAAAGAAACGTTTTCAAAATGTAGTAAGAAGGAAGAAATGTTTTGAGAGAAAAAGAAAAAGAAAGAAATCTCATAAATCAAAAAGAAATAGAAAGAAATGTTTGAGACGAAGGGAAAAAGAAAGAAATGAAGAAAAAAGAGGAAAAAAAAAATGAAATGTTTTGAAACGAAGAAAAAAGAAAGAAAAAGTTTGAAGAAAAAAAAAAAAGAAAGAAATGTTTTTGAGACGAAGAGAAAAAATGAAGAAAAAAAGGAAAAAGAAATGTTTTAAAAAGAAAGAAATGTTTTGAGACGAAGAAAAAGAAAGAAATGTTTTGATAGTAAGAAAAAGAAATGTTTTGGGGGAAAAAGAAAATGTTATGAAAGAAAGGGAAAATGAAGGAAAAGTGTTGAAACGAAGAGGAAAAGGGGAGAAGAAGAAAGAAATGTTTTGAAACGAAGAGAAGAAAAAATGTTTTGCAACAAGGAGAAAAAGAAGGAAACTTTTAAAACGAAAAGAAAAAGTAAAGAAGAAAAATGTTTTGAAACGAAGAGAAAAAGAAAAATATTTTGAAACGAAGAGAAAAAGAAGAAAAGGTTTTGAAACGAAGAGAAAAAAGAAATGTTTTAAACGAAGAGAAAAATAAAGAAATGTTTTGAAGCGATGATAAGAAGAAAGAAAGGGTTTGAAACGAAGAGAAATATTTTGAAACTAATAAAAAAGAAAAATATATTGAAACGAATAGAAAAGAAAGTAATAATTTGCAACCATGAGAAAAAGAATGAAATGTCTTTTTCGTGTGCTTTCAATGTTAATTCATCACAAAGAACTCTCTATTCTCGCTCACTTACAAGCAAGCTATTTTACTCGAGCAGTGTAGGGAAAATAAGTTAACATAGCATATATTAAAATAAAGATTACATTGTATGAAACATTTTTTTCTTTTCGATTATTCCTTGTTTCATTAAAAGGATAAACCACTTAAGAATATTATTGACATGTCGACATGATTCTTACTGTATATATATATATATATATATATATATATATATATATATATATATATATTCTTACTGTTAACGCAAGAAAAGCTGAATGCATACCAGTAATATGTCATTTTATTTATTTTATAGTAGGTGAATCATTGGCAATCATTATTTTTAAATATCATTTTGTGATAAAAAGCATGTAAAGTTGATATGAATCTCAGGTTAGTGCCTTATTTAACAATATATATATATATATATATATATATATATATATATATATATATATATATATATATATATATATTTTCTTTTATATATATATATATATCTTTTGTTATATATATATATATATGTGTGTTGTGTGTGTGTGTGTGTGTGTGTAAAGGGTGTTTCAATAAATGGGACCGACTTTAAATGTGAATTCAGTTTAAGTGTCTAATGATTTTTTTCTTTTTCTTTCAGGTTTGGTGATATTATTTTTCACGCATAATTACCATGACTTAAATAACATGATCCAATAGAGAAATAAATAATTTTTCACCAATAACACTGATTTATTTACTGTTGACTTTGATCCAGCTAAATAAAACAATCTTATACATAATCCCCCTTAATGAAACACCCTTTATATATATATATATATATATATATATATATAGTTGTGGACAGAATTATTCAGCCCTCTGCCTTAACTACAAATAAAACAGCAAGATCTCAAATTTTCATCGAAACTTCCTGTGCAGTTTTATTATGAAATAATGAATTTGAAAGAATGTGAGGCACACAACAAAACATGTTTATTTTTATGTCAAAATATAATAGAAAAATAATTTAACATAGGACAAAATTATTGCCCTTCTTGCCTCTGTTATCAATTGTGTAACATTTATTTTTGATTATTGTCTTTAACCATTTTTTTATAGTTCCTTACAAGATCACTACACTCACTGATAAGTATTTTGCGCCATTCTTCCTTGGCAATAGCTTCTACTTCCTACAAATTTGAAGGACTTCTTTCTCTTAATTGTTCTTCAAATATGCCCATAAATTTTCAATGGGGTTTAGATCAGGAATTTCTGCCTGGTTACACCAATACCTTAATTTTGCTGTTATCTAAGTATTTTGTAACAATTCATGCCATGTGTTTTGACTCGTTTTCATGTTGAAATGTCCAGTGATGCCCCAAAGACAACTTTCATGCACTTTGTTTTATATTATTTTTAAGAATAGATAAATACAGATCTTTATCCATGATATCCAGTACTCTCACTAGTTCTCCTGATCCAGAAGCAGCAAAACATCCCCCAGAGAAGAATGCTCCAATCACCGTGCTTCATTCTAGGGAAGAATTTTTTTTTGTTTTTTTGAGCTTCATTCACTTTCCTCCATATATATATATAGTTGTAGACAGACTTATTCACCCACTTCTATAATTACAAATTGTTGGGGCCACCCACCTTCTCATCAGAATGGACTTATCTCTCTACTACTAATAGGACAGTTCTATAGAGTTCTGGGAAGATCAGGTGACCATCACACTTCCGTCTCTCTACCAGAAGATACAGTTGGACTTTATACTCTTTCTGATTGTTACTGACTAACCTGCATTCATTTGACTACTAATCTCTCTGTTGTAAATACCTCTTCAGATATACCAGTATTTTTCCCTATGTATGTGTTTGTCCTTATTTCGATACACGCACGGGGAAACACTCAACATCTCAACACAAATAAAGCTGTAATACGTCAGATTTTCATGACTTGAAAGAATGTGCAGAGGTTCCCACAATAAAAAATGTTTATTTTAATGTTAAACAATAACAGGAAAATGATTTAACAGGGGACAAAATTATTGGCCTTCTTGCCTCAATTATTTTTGTTTAATGTCTTTAAACATTTTTAATAGGTATTTTGCGCCATTCTTCCAGGGCAATAGCTTCTAGTTCCTTCAAATTTTAAGGACGTCTTTCTCATAATTTTTCTTCAAATATGCCCATAAATTTTCAATGGAGTTTACGTCTGAACTTTGAGCAGGGTATACAATACCTTAATTTTGACGTCATTTTGTAACAATTTGTGCCATGTGTTTATAAAGTACAGGCTCTCGAGAATGCAACATGCCCCATAAGTTTTCTATGGTGTTGAGGTCAGGAGATTGGGGCGGCCATGTCATAACTCTCACCTGCTTCTCATCAAAGTATTCCTTCATCAATTTTGATTTGTGACAGGGAGCATTATCCTGCATAAAAATGAGCTTGGTGGGGTCGATTTGCACCCTTTCAACAGAAGGGAGCAGACAAGACTCTGAAATTCTCTTGTACTGCTCGTTCCTGAGGTTCTTTTCAATAGGTTTTAAGAAACCAGTTCCATGAAAAGAAAAGCATCCCCAGAATATTATACTGAACGGATGCTTGACAGTACTTACTGCTAAATTCAAAGAGCTTTCAAAGCTTCTTCTTCGGATTTTAGATCGCTTATCCTTTCAATTTAGCTCAACTTTCGTTTCATCGGAGAAGAGAATATTTAGTAAAACAAAATCAGGTGAGTCATTTTTATCGAACAGCACTGTAATTATTTATTCGAAAATTATAACATAAATATGTTATAAAATCACTACGAAAATAGCCATTTTGTTTAAACACTTCTGGTGTTTTATTAAGTGATGGGGTTGAATGTTGTTTGCATTCAACACCATCACTTGATAAGACAATTGAAAGTGTTGAAAAGAAAATGGCTATTTTATATATATATATATATATATATATATATATATATATATATATATTATAAACTGGGAAGGATTTAAGAAAGATACAAACATCATAGGAATTCCTTCAACTTAAGGAGATATTATACAGCTTATAATTCTTAAAAACAAGGATCATGATATTCATCGAACGATTTGTAAGTTAATGCACCTTTAAAATTTTGTTTGCGAAGGATTTCGGTATTTTATATCATTAACTTTTACTAATTTAATTTTTGTATGAATGATTCATTGTAAAATAAATTGAACTGTATGAATGATTCTACACACACATATATATATATATATATATATATATATATATATATATATATAAAAGGGTAAGAATACAGATATGATTTTCTAGGTAGGGAAATATTCTTAAGAAACCAAGCACCAAGAGATCTTGAGACACAGATAGATAGACATATATATATATATATATATATATGTGTGTCAGTCAAGATCTGTATTCTTTTTTTTTTAACTTGATTCTGGAGATCCGTCTTTTGGACCCCTATAACCTATTCTAGATCTAACAAATAGGAATACATAGTTGGGGTAAAAATGAAGTTGAACATCCTCTACCAAGTCTTATGAGAAATATGACTCAAATTAAAACTTTCCAAAACAGAAAGCATGATCTGAAATGGGAATGAAAGCAGTGATCTTAGACGGGTAAACCTGGACATGTGGCTGGCAATGTCACCATGTAAAAGACCTCTTAGTAAGGAAATCACAGAAGGAACATTTCTCTTCTCTCTCTCTTTCTCTCTCTCTCTCTCTCTCTCTCTCTCTCTCTCTGTTATAGTGGAACACATCTATTCTATAGTTAATAGACTCTCCCACCTATAATAAGTAGGAGTAGTAAGAGTAACGAGGCAGTCGCTAAAGTCGCTCAGTGAGTTGGTCAGTCAGTCGATGCCGGACGACCGTTAGTCGGATACTAAAGTATCAGCGACCACCACTAGATTTCTCTGCGTCATTACCTATTATATCAAGTTCCTAACGTTTTGTACGTCGAACCTATTTTAGGACCGACTTAGTACAAAAACAAGCCTCCACTGTGAAACCACTCTACGACACACTCTCTCTCTCTCTCTCTCTCTCGTCAGGTATATTTGTCTCTGGTTCATTATGAATATTATCCTGCCAAACCAATCATATTTGTATTTATATCCTTTTTGCGCTTGGCACTGGAGATCCGTTCATTGGACCACAGTACCCTATTCTAGATCTAAAACGGTATATCCATTGATATGCATATGAGACTGACAAAGAAAATTAGAAATCATACAACTTTGTGACAGAGTGATAACGTGACAGTGGACCAACACTTTAGCGACCACCACGCCATCCCCGCATCACGACCCTAAATCATCGACATCTTGTTGCACAGCAACCGACCTGCCCAACCCTCTACTATTGCTGCAGATTGAAATTGACCACTATCATCTGTTTCCTCCACGATGGTTCCTGGCAATGAAAACTAGTGGTGATTTCTACGGGAAATACCAGCGATGAATATTTTAGTACTTCTTTCGACTCATGTCTTCTCGGTCTTTGTCCCTGCCTCTAAGGTTATGTTTCCAAGGAACCTGAATTATTTATTGTTGTTCCGTTGTAAGCCACAGTCGTTTCATCTGTCGCTATCATCCATTGAATTATCGGTTCTAATTACCTACAGGCGTTATTAATCATCGCTTTCGATGACGTGTCCGTGCTCACGAGATTGATACAATCATGATAATTGGGTACCTCTATACTTGATCGGGAATAGTGAATAGGTTCCCTCTCTCTCTCGATCACAGGAGCTCTCTCTCTCTCTCTCTCTCACGATCAAGGGAGCTCAATCCTCTCCTCTCTCTCACTCAATACATATTCTCTCTCTTTCCTCTCTCTGCCTCTGTCTCGTGTAGATAGATATGAACAAACAAAGATAGACATGGACAAACTAATATATATATATATATATATAGAGAGAGAGAGAGAGAGAGGAAGGAGAGAGAGATATGAAGAGACTAAGATAGACAAAGATAGACATGAACGAACTTAGATATGAACAAACTAACATATATATATATATATATATATATATATATATATATATATATAACAGATTAAGAGAGATGGACAAAACAAAGATAGATATGAACAAACTTAGACATGAACAACCTAACATATATATATATATATATATATATATATATATATATATATATATATATATACAGAGAGATATGAACAGATTAAGAGAGATGGACAAAACAAAGATAGATATGAACAAACTAAGATAGATAGATAGATAGATAGATAGATAGATATAAGTGAACAAGCTAAATGTTATAACTAACTCTTAGTGGTTA